AAACTCTACTTTGCAGCATCTACAGCAGTTGGTTGCAAATGTAAACAGTTGTATCATGATTTAACAAAAGTATTCCCGACAAATTATACTTTTGTATCAATAAATTATACTTTTATCATGGTTTCACAAAAGTATTCTAAACAAATTATAACTAAAAACTTGTGTCTGCCTCTGCTGAGGGTTTTCTTTATTTGGTTGCTTTAATTTTTATTGATGAAACTTAGCACAACGAAATAACATCAATGCAAAAAATCAATTAGATTTTTTTTGCATGTGAAAAGAAAATCAATTATATTTATTCCGTTATGAGTAAAATTTTGTGCTCTAGTGCTTGGCGCTACAGCTCCGGTCTCCACCCTTCGACAAAGTTTGAAAAACATAGATAGATTCCTGATTTAAAATTTCCTCTCAAAAATAACTGCGCGTTAGCTTTTAAAATCTGCGTGTTAGCTTTTAACTTCGACCATATAAACTGATAGACACGCCTTACCGCCAGTAAATATTCACACAACTTTGAAGCCAACATCTTTTAGCGCGTGACGTCACGTTTGGGCATTAAACAATTTATAATATCGGTTTAGGGTGAATGTATTTAACATTTTTAAAGTTTTATTATTTGTTATGTATATTATTTTGTTTAAATTTTGATTTTCAAATAGAATATAGATATATAAAGATCATGATGTTATCTTGTTTTGCATATAATTGCACTTAAAGATATATTAAAAGGGTTTCTTTTCATGTGTAAGTAGCTACAAATCATTATTTGCTAAAATCCTACATTATATTTTAAATATAAATAGCATATTATTTTAATATGCTTATTTTTGTTGGTAGTTTTCTGAAAGATATAGAATTGAGGAGAAAATGGATACAAGTTATGTGGAGTGATGGTTTTACTCATAGTAAGCTGTCTAAACGTTGTGGTAAATATTTCACTGGTATAAAGGAAGTCTTTCGAGTTCACAAAAGAAACTAAAAAAAAATGCAATTTCTTCTTTATTTAATTTCCCAACACTTTTATGAAAAAGTATTTATTCTAGAAAACTACCAAAAAATATAGACAAATAATTATTTCAAATATTATCACCAATGATTCAAATACAGTAAGTCTAATGTAACTAATCTTTTTGCAATGACATATATTGATTTAAAACTTTTAAGTTTAGTTTTTGTAACATATATATTGTGTGCTTATATATATATATATATATATATATATATATATATATATATATATACATATATATATATATATATATATATATATATATATATATATATATATATATATATATATATATATATATATATATATATATATATATATATATATATATATATATATATATATATATATATATATATATATATATATATATATATATATATATATATACACGCATTAGACTTACTGTATAACATTAATGTTATACAGTAAGTCTAATGTTAACATTAATGGTATGATTATCAACATTATTGTTCGTAAATATATATATATATATATATATATATATATATATATATATATATATATATATATATATATATATATATATATATATATATATTTTTAGGAACAATGTTGATAACTATATCATTTATGTTAACAATAATATCACCAGTAATTTAATACAGTAAATCTAATTTAAATACATTACAATGACATACTTTACAATTACTTTTACAATATCATATATTGATGTAAATGTTTGAGTTTACTTTTTGTGACAATAATATCTTTATGGTTTTAAAAACATTGTTGAAAAGTGTGAAATCAATCCTAACACCAATGGTAAACAATATATTTAAATACAATTAAAATGCTTCAGCAATCCAACTGTTGTTTAATAAAAAGGATTAAAGACTTACATTCATACCTTCATCATTTTAAATCAAAAAGTATAAATCATATGATGAATCAAAATCATGAATCATACTATGATTTCCGAAGAAGTATCAATTACACTAATGGTATAATATATATTTTTATTAAGAGTAGTTGTTGAACATATTTTATTTTATTTGTCTATTTCATTATTTTAAATATTTGTTTCTTATTTCTTATTTAGTTATACCTTTAGAAATATTTTGTTTTAGTCAACCTACTGTTAAAATATGGTTTTAAATTAATAAGTTTTTATGATTAAAAACTTATTACATTAATCATCAGATAACAGTTAAGGAAAATTTTAATTCATCACAACTACGGTAAGAATAGCAATAAGTTAATTATTGTGTTTGTCATAACAGTAATAATTGTTGTTATAATTGTAATGCTATTGTGATATTTTCATCTATTTCTTGATACCTTAATCAACGATGCCCTAATTTACTTGATTGGGTTTTCAAGTATAAATATGATGTTGTAACTAAAAATGTATTTATTTAATCTATTTAATTTTAGGGAGCTATGCCTGAGTCTACAAAACAGTTATATTGTCGGATTTTACAAGAAAAGTTAAAAAGCATTACCCACCAGAATTATGAAGCTTTGCTACAACACAAAGTTGTTAGTCCTAGGCTTTGACCTTGACTTAAGGCCTTGGTCTTAAAACTGTTGGTCTTGGTCTTGGCCTTGGTCTTCAATAAAAGTACCTAAAATTGAAGAATTAAAAGATTTCATTCTTTATTTTTATGTATTTTTGTTTTCGGCTTCATACATATCCACAAGTATGTTTTTTATTGACTTCATAGAATTTTGGGCAAAACCCTGGTTTATTTTTACAACATGTGGTTTATTGTAACAGGAATTGTTACCTACAGTTTTGTTAATAATTGATCTTAACGTTAGACAAAAATTCAAGTGTTTGGGCTTGAAAATATTTTTATTCTTGGCCTTGACTTTAAAATTCCAGGCTTTGACCTTGTAACTTTTGGCATTGGTCTTGGCTTTAGCCTTGTAACATGTGGCTTTGGCCATGTCCTTGCTAATTTTGGCCTTGTTAACAACCTTGATTTAACATTAAATTTTTATTCTGCTAAAGCATATAGTTATGTTAGGAAAACATTTAGTAATGCACTTCTTCATCCTGGAATTATACAAAATGGCATAAAAGTGTTGACTGTTTCCCTGGATTTTGTAAAGAAGCTTTAGTTACTCTTCATAGCAAAATAAAAGAGGCTCAGAAAATTGGTCAACATATTGTGTGTTCATTTATGTAAGATGAAATGACCATTTGAAAAAAAAATTGAATAAAAAGGCCATAAATTTTCTAGTTATATTGATTTTTGTGCTGATATCAATAATAATAGTTAACCCAAAACAAAAGAAACTTTAGTTTTTATGGTAAACTGTGTAAATGGACGTTGGAAACTTCCTGATGTATAATTTTTAATTAATAGTTTAGATGGTTGTGAAAAATCTAATATTGTTAAGCGTTGTCTGTAATTTATTTATGAAAGTGGTGAAGAAATTATAAAACTAATATTGCTTAGTATTTAAAGATAAGATTGCACCACAAAACTGACTTGATCAACAATTTACTACATAATAAACGTATACAAAGTGTATTAACAAAGTAAATTTAATTTTCGAATCAATAAAAAGTTGTTTTGTATATTATGTAATGGATAATAAAATACATAAAATTGTATTAACTGTTACGTTTTCTTATCTAAGAAATCTAAAAATAATAATTGATACAAATGATAAATTTAATCATATTTAAAAAAATAATAATAATAGTAATATGGTTTTTTCTACAAAATTTTACATTTAATAAACAGTTTTCTATTCTTAAAGCTTTATTTCGCTTGAATCGCGTTTTGTTTTGCCCAAACGTGACGTCACGCGCTAAAAGATGTTGGCTTCAAAATATATAACTTACGGCGGGTCTATCAGTTTATATGGTCGAAGGCTTTTAAAATCGCAATTTATATGATTTAATCGGTCTGTCAAATTAAAAATACGCGAGACCATAGCTACGCTTTAGCAAAATCAGTTTTTTAATTAGACAGCAACATAATTTTGTAGATGGTTTTAAATAGAACAAACTTTATGGTAACGTGGTGAGAAAGTGGAATAACATAATGGGGATGTTTTCGGGACGGGTAAAACCCTGATGAGGATGTGATGGTGATAGAAAGATTTATGTTAGGATAAAATGGGATAGGTTTCTACTTCCATTTTACTCTTATAAACCTCTAATTATTATTCATTAAAAATAACTTTGATTGATGTATTAAGTCGATTTAAAACTTCAGTCACAATTTCAAGCATAAGCTCGTTTATAGTTAATATAAATGAGTCATATTAATATATAAAAAACTTTAGAATGTTTACCTTTTTTTGTTTATAACATAGCTTATGTACAGAAAAGGAATGTAGTTGTATTTTTTAATTAGATACAGGTCTATGTTTTTTATGTGTCTCTTATCACGTCTTATGTATTTTATTATTTTTAAGTTTATACTAAAGAGCCACAAAAGATTATTATATGCATGTGATAAAGAGATATTTACTGTGGTCACTTTTTAATTTTTTGTGGTTTCTTCAAAAAAAACATACATTTCTCCATAAATATATTGATATTACCATAGTTATTTAAAAATGTAGTTAATAGTAGAAATGAATACATAAAAATAAAACTTTTATTATTCATTTTTAATTACTTAGCAAGTTAATATGTAAAAAAATATACATATATATTTTTAATATATTAATTATATATTAATTATTATAGTTAATATATTATTATTATTATTTTTTATAAATTTGTTGACCATAATAAAAAAATTCTTTAGTTTTTACTCTCTAACTTTATTTTATAAAAAGCTTTAGAATTTTGTTACTTATTAATATCATGCTAAAAATTCAAGTCATTAAAAAAAAAAGTAATGAAGCTAAATTTTTTTTATTACCTCAATGTTTCAAATAATAAATATAAATTCTTTTTCAACAATTTTAACAATTGATTGTAATAAAACAGTTGATAAAAAAACTACATTTTAAAGTTTACCAGTTATTTTAAATTTGTTTAAAATCCTAACGTTTTTTTTTCCCTAGTCAAGCATATATTTATCATTTCAAATTTGTATGATTATGCATGCTTTTTGATAAACAGTTTTTTAATATCATGGCATTTTAAACTGTTAATACCAATATGGAAGTTGATGTTGATTTTGATTTGGTTAATAAACTAAATGTTTTGGTTACAAGTGATCATGAAGATCTCCTTAAGCAGTTTCAAATGATTGTTGGTAATCAAATAAACCCTTCGTCATGCTCTTTTTATTTAGAAATGGGAAATTGGTATGATGCATTACTTTTTTTAAATGTTTATTGTGTTATAATTTTTATTTTTATTTAAGAAAATTGGTAGTCAAAACATTTATTAAGCATTGTTAGCTATATAAGCAGTCATATTTATTTATCAATTATTTCTAAATATTTATAAGACTCAATAATAAAGTCATATATTTATTATCATATATGTTATTTAAAAAAAAGTATTGGTTAAACTTGAACTCCTTCCTTTAGTCAAAATTTTATAAATGCTTTTAGCAATTGTTAAAAACATTTTTAAAGTTCTGTCTTTTAACATATTTAAAAATCTCATATAAAAAATCATTCCTTTTTTAGCATAGTATTTAGTTAGTCCTTGAAGGTCAACACTCTTCTTCATTTCCAGTAACTTTTGGGTAGTCATCCCAGAAGTTATTAGAAATGAAATTTAGTTTTAAGCTTGAAAGGGCTGAGTGAGTGAGTTTTGATCAAAACAAAAATAATTTTTCACTGTTAATAATTTTAGTGTTGTTTATATTCCTATATTAATGAATGACAGCACTCATATGGCAAACATATTCAGATATTTTTTTTTTAATTTAGAAAAAAAAAGAAAATCTTTTTAACTTAAAAACTTAAACTTAATGCAGAAAAAAGAAATAAGCCACTGGAAAGTTTTAGTTTTGTTTACGTTTACTTGTTTTTAATATAGCATTTCTTTGTAATTCTACAAAAAATGGCATTTTTACTTATATCTTAATACCAAAATTTTAAGCAGTTTACCTTAATACCAAAAATTGCTTATACCTATCTGTCAACCTTTTTTTTTTTGAACAAAATGTTTTCTGTTAAGTTTAGGACTAATTTCGTTTGGTTAACTTAATACAGTAACCAATAAATGCTTTACTAAAAATTACAGAAAATTAAATTTACCACAATTATTTTAAAAAGTAATATAATTTAATGTTAATTCACATTAAAATCGACTTTATAAATACCTGAATCAAAGTCTAACGTTCCATTTATTTACAAACTGAGAAAACAATGTGCTTCGAAATGCAGTATCATTGTCCATCAGTATTTCATCCAGACCACCTCGTTCGAGAAATATCGCATTTAGTTCTTGAATAACACATGCACTGGTTTGACCTTTAAGATATCGCCATATTGCATACCGTGTAGGCCCACAGTCAATTAAAGTAAGAGAGTGCTGTCCCTCATAATGAGTTATGCCCATGCCAAGTCGTTGCCACGTTTTCTTTACTTCTATTTCCCCTTTTGGCTATTTCATTTGACTTGGATCGATTGATTGACAAGCTATGCATTTCTCAACCACTTGTTTTATGTCTTCCTTGCTCACTGAAGGGTCGATTTTACGAGCAAAGTACAATGTTTTCTTCACGCCATAATGTCCTGTAGACCTATGAACCTGCTTGATGTCTTTGGGAGATAGCGAAGTACTACTAATGCCACTTGCTGCCATTTGATAGGGTTTATCAACCAATTTTAACCAACTATTGGGCACTCTAGTAAGGGCATCAGCCAAGTTAAACTCCGAAGCAACAAGTTTAATATCTACTTTGAGTTGGTATTCTTCCACTATATTTGCAATGTTATGAGGTCTTCTTCTTATCAGCATTTCGTTTGAAGCTTTTGTTCTCAATCTAGATTTTCCCGTGAGTGCGTCGGTAACCCAATGGAATACCGCTTTCGAATCAGTGCAGATGTGTAGAATCTCCATTTTCCAATTAAGGCCCATATTTAGTCCTTTAATTACTGCGTCAAATTCAGACATGTTTATATGTGTTGTGTCATCTTTTCTTAACCAACAAGGGTCTTCGATTATATTACCATTAACCTCGACAACACGCTTAGTGCTATTGAACTAGCATCTACCCAAATTGTTGCCTCGTTACTGTGAACACTCCAAATTCCTTTAGCAGGATCGTTGTTTCGTGCTCTTTTTATCATATCATTCAGCATTTTCTCCAGATAATTGCATTTTATTTTTTCATCCCTTGTTTTTGTCAAGGCGTTTGCTATTCTTTTAACATAAAGTTAAAAGAATAGCAAACGCAACCAACCACAAACTGGAAGAAACGAAGCTACACGCAACCAACCACAAACTGGAAGATTTTTCCGCACAAAGAAAAGATGTCACATCTTGTTAGTGATTTTGGAATTTCACCAAAATCATCATCTCTTTTCCAACACAACTTTTTATTTTCCATTCCGACTTGTAAACCAAGAACTCTTGCTCCATTGGATATGCGGACCACAGGCTTGCAATGAAGCCTATAGGTTTCCAAATGATCAAGTACTCGACGAACAGGTATTATGTCTTCATTCACAAAAATATCATTAATGTATGATGACATTCTTTTCCAGATTGTTTCGTCTTGCGATAGCACTTTGTCCAACACTGCTTTTATTAAGACTGGCGCAACGTTTAGTCCGAATCCCAAACGTATTAAACAAAATCTTTTTCCACGTAACACAACAGTTTGGTAAGCCCAAAGTTTCTCATCAATTTTTAGTTGCATGTAAGCTGAAGATAAATCAATTATTGAAACATTTTCTCCAAATCATCTCCAATCTCGAAGTTTGTCAGCACGCGCATCTGTGTTTGCAGTGAATGCTTCAATAAACGTGTTCAGCTTCCTGAAGTCCAATACTGGTTGTAATTTTCCTTTATTTCGCTGCATGACTGCCATGAGAGAAACCAAACCTTTTATTGGACCGTGTTTCTTCAAATCGTACTTTTGCAGCTATTTTTTCTCTATCCATCCTTCAATTTCTTTTTCGAATTGAGTTTTATGCCAACAGGGATAAAACACAATTCAGGATTCCATTTCCACGCAATTATCCATTCTCAATTTTCTTTTTCAAACGAAGCTTTAAAATCTCGAGCTGTTATATTCAAATTACTGATATCTTTTGGCATATCACTTCTTATTCCAAGTAAACATGACTCGTTTCTTCCCATAAAACAAACATCACGAGTTGCAGATATCGATACTCCACCAAAAGCTACTATTCCATCCATACCCATCAAAAAACAATAACCAAGTAGTTTGAAGTCAACTACAAGTGCTTCCACAAAAACTTCATTCCCATTTGGCGTGACTATTCAAGTTTGGCTAACTGCTTCACACTGTTGTTGTTGTCCATTTACAGTTACCATGCTAACTACTTTCTTCATAATTTTTGGGGCATATTTTTTATAAATGATACAGCAGGTACATCAAGAGTCAATCAACACATCACGAAGAACGCTGTTAATGTCCAAGCGTATAGTAGGTAACGCCATTATTGATGGTTTGGGGAGAGAGCTGACACAAACATCTTCTCCCTTGACACATTTTTTGGACACATTCTTGATGTGTCCTTTCTCTTGACATGAGTAACACAAAACATTGCTTGTCTCCCGTCTCCAACCCAACTTGCTTCGATTGCTATGTCTTTGTAGATGACAATCTCTTGCAAAATGATTGGAGAGTTTACATTCATAAAAAACTGGTTGTGTTTGATCTTCAAGCAACCTCAACTCAGCACGCCTCTTTTATCCGGTCAAAATCTTTTTTATCACTTTCTGCTAACTGTTGATATACTGCAAATGCACCATTTGTGAGATGGAGGGGAACAACACTCGCCAGATCGGTTACACCAATTAGTTTGCATACTAGTTTTACTTTTTCGAGCCATTCTGCAACTGATTGTTGATCGTATCCATTATACTCTGGAATTAACTTTAAATCAATTATAGTTAACATTTTTGTCGAAATAGCTTGTTGTTTCACATCAAAATCGACTTTATAAGTTTAGCATTAAACGCCTCATCTTTTCTAATGCAACTCAACATAATTTATATACAATCATTTTCTCTTGGTATTTACAACTATGACGCAAAATACAGTCATATTTAGTCATATATACAATTATATTCTCTTGGTATTTACAACTATGACTTTATTTTATATACAACTATTTACAATTAACGCAAATCGATAGTTAACAATCATAAAATATAATTATACTTAACATTTAAATATAATTTTGCTTAATCACTTACACACATTTAAATTTGAAATACTTTAAATTTTGAAGATATATATTTCAAAGTTTTAAAATATATATCTTCAAAATTAAATTTACTGAATGTTCTTTCATTTTAAGAAATTAGAAAAAGTTTTTTTCATTAACAATCATTGATTTTATAAGTGTATTTTATATTATACCTTTTTTTAATTATATATATATATATATATATATATATATATATATATATATATATATATATATATATATATATATATATATATATATATATATATTGTAAGTATATATGTATATTTTATAAGTATATGTGTATATTTTATAAGTATATATGTATATTTTATAAGTATATATATATATATACAGGCCTTGTGATGAATAAACACTGCGCGACGCATAAGCACGACGTGATTTTTGACGTCATTAAATTCTTTTTATTTGCTTTTCATATTTATCGACATTAACTGCACCAATTTACTTAATTACTGCAAAACTACTTTAAATCATTAATGTAGAAATGTTATTATTTAAAAATGTTTTGGAAGGTTTCGTTTTTTAAAATGTAAAAACATTTGTTTATGTTCTCGACGTTTGACACGTTTTGCCTATACTAAACGAATAAAAAACATTATAACTAAACATTTAAAAAAAATTATAAGATATGCTAATATTTGATTTTTTTTCCTCAAATTTGTAGTATAAAGTTTTTCAAATATTTATTTTTTCTTTTTTAAAAGTCAGCGAGTAATAAATTATGTAATTAATTTTGTTCGATTAAAAACTGTGCAATAGCTAATATTTTTACTAGCGATTTTATATAATATTTTTTTATTTATTTACTTTTATTTTCATAAAGCGATTGATAAGCACAATCACTCGTATTACTAAAAAACTTTAACGAACATTTTGAATAGATTTTTAATGTTTACGAGGAATTTTATTTTTGGTAAAATAAAATAAAATAAAATGTT